AGCCTCTAAGTCATTAATTTTGTTTCTAATACTCCTAGCATTCAAATACAGACCACTAATGGTAGGCCTGGCACCTGGGGCGACTGTTGTGAAAGGCGCTATATAAAAATAAATTGAAATTATACCCCACTCAATAGCCACTTAATTCCAGGAAAAATGGGTAAGAATTTTGCTCTTGGCCGATGCTCTTCCAAGAAACAGAGGTAGATTTTTTTAAAGAAATATAAAAATTTCTGCATTTTTTGGGGAGTGTCTATTCCTCTTCTCATCCAAAATTTGTGCAGCTGCACCGAACAGCCGCTCACTCTCCACACTTCTATACAGAGCACAAAGATAAACTTGGGTGCTCATATTTATCATACTGCTCTTGGTGGAGGTGCAAATGTCTAATGAGGTTCATGGTGTTGAATGCTTTAGCAGGTGATCCTCCATGAACAACTGCTTTTGCACATATGTTGCATATTGCAAACAGATATCTAGTAAAACTGCCAGACCGGAGATGACATACTGCTGCTGATGTGCTTGAAAATTCATTAGTTCCAAATGGCCGTTTGCAACTTGAAATGTTCATAAGTTGCTATTCATCATTTTAAGCGTGTACACAAATACAAAAAACTAGGATGCTGGGAGTATGCACGCTACGCTGCTGCACAGTGGAAGTAGCAGGCAGAAGTCGTACTAGGCGGAATTGGCGTGCAGAAAAAAAATTGATGCTGCGGACAGGAAACAGGAGCCCAATGATCACAATTTGGACTTACGGTTCTCTTCGTTCAGATGTCTGAAAGTTCATAAGTTGAAAGTTCGTAAGTAGAGGAGCGTTTGTATTGTGAATCATCCACAAAATCGGCATTTGAGATCGAGAAATTAAAAATCAGAACATCTCTAATTTCTATAATGAAGATACAGAAAGTGAAACATTTTTAAGATTCAATGAAATATAATTCCTGGCAGCCAAAGTTAGGCTCAGGTTAGACAGTTCTCAGCTCTGAAATGAATTGCCATGTTTTGGGGATTTTCTAGCAGGACCTGCTCTTCAGTGCTGACCCGCCACCCCAGCAGTGAGACCCCAGCCAGACTGTCCTGCTCTGTCACCAGGCTGCGAATTGTGGCCTTCAGACCAGCACAGTGGCAGACAACAGCTGTGAGATACACATCATTGCTCACCCTGACGATGTTTAAGCTTTATGAGAAAACCTAAGTGTGAGGCCAGGTGAGTTGGGTAGTTTCCAGCTTTCTCTCATTTTTCAGAACGTTCCAGTACTCTTCTGGAGTCCTGTGTGTCCAATGAGTTTGTTTATGTGGCCACTTCAAAGAAGCCGGAATTTGATTTCACATTTCCTGAGTTTTCCTGAGGGAGCTACACTTCTCAAGTACCTTTCCTAGGCAGCTGGTTGGGATCCAAAACACAGAAACCTTCCCAAGGACACACTCATGCTTCTCTGTCCGCCTGGAGGTTTTGTCTTTCTCCCCCTGTACTCACACAGACATGTGAGGTCAGCCACTCTGAAGCCCCCCCCAAATGGCCGTAAAGCCAAGGCAACTACAGGAGACTAAAACAAACAAGTGCCAGACATGTAAGGGACAATGAAGTAAAGAACACGAACATCTCAGGAGAAAAGGGAAAAGGTGAAGAACTAGGAGGCGAAGGGCAAAGACCTTGAGAGCAGGAAGATAAAGAGCAAGGACTTGAAGAGTGGGGAGGTGAAGGGCTAGGAGGTAAAGAGCAAGAAAGTGAAGAGCAGGAAGAGAAAGAGTGAGGAGGTGAACAGAGAGAAAGTGAACAGTGGGAAGATGGCGAGCAAGGAGGTGAAGAACGAGAAGGTAAAGGTGAGGAGGGGAAGAGCAGGAAGGTAAAGAGCAGAAAGATGAAGAACGAGGAGCTGAAGAGTGAGGAGGTGAAGAGCAAGGTTGTGAATAACAGGAAAATTAGAAAGATGAAGTGCAAGGGGGTGAAGAGTGAACAGGTAAAGAAAAAGAAAGTGAAGAGTGAGGAGATGAAGGTTGAGGAGGTAAAGAGTAGGAAGGTGAAGAGCTCTACACATACTGCACACACACAGTACCTACACAGTACATATATAATACACACTCTATATACACTGAACACAAACTGAACATAAACTAAAGCTGCACAGAGATACAAATGGACTTCTGTTGAAATTGATTAGTAAATACTTCTTTGAAATTAAAGGCTCTTCTTACCATCATAACGGCGTAAATTAGGAATCTTTTCAGGATACTGAAATGGTTCTTGCGGAAATAAAGCATAATCTTCCCAGCCTGTGGACACATAGTGACTGTTTGAGATTCGAGCAGTGATTAAGTGTTATTTGAAGGACATTTTTAATGTAGAACAGGAAAACACCCAGGACTGTACTGATATGGACCTATTACAACAGCCTCGAATTTAAAAAGTGACTCAAACTGTCCCAGACATTCAGCCATGACATAATGTGCATTATGCTGCTCTGGCCCTCTTCCCCTACATCACCACTGATGCCTTCATTAATAACGTGAAATGTAAGTCTGGATTGCTCTGTTTCTAGGCAATCAATCTGAGTGGTCTTAGCGATACTGGCATCCTGTTTGTGTCTGAAGCTGCTGCAACAAGGAGTGGCCACATTTTCTGATTTATTTGGTGATGATTAAAAAATTCAGGCCGGGAACACTGACACCAGGAGTGTGAGGAAAACAATCTGAAGACACCTGGTGTACTTTGTGAGAGTCACTGACAGAAGGAGTCAGCAGCTGCCCCAGTGTGGGTGCTACAAAGAGGCCTAAAAGGAACATGCACATCATCAAAGTGTGAGTGCTTAAGGCACTGTCCTCACCTTCCAGCCTGGCCTGGGTGTATTAACAGGCAGCAGCTGCTAGAGTGAGAAATACCCCATAATCCTAAGCCTTTAGGAAAACATCCCTGACACCACACTCCTGCATCCTTAGCCAAATGCTAAATCATATCCTTATAACTCCAAATAAAAGGAAAAAGTTACATTACAAATTAATGTACAAAGTAAATTGTTTTAATGCTAATTTAATGGTCACTGCCTCCCATTTAAGTGGCAGGTTTCTTTCTTACCCCTTACCTGCATCCCAGTGAACCCCATAACCACACTGTTAATGGCGCTGAGCACCCCTTCTGGGTCAAAGGGCACTGTCGTGTGGTACATTTCCTGCAGGGCACAGACAGCATGCAATGTCAGCGTACAATACCTATCCCCTTACCCCAGAAAATGCAGCTCTGGGCAACAGGCTGTGAGGGTTCCCTGGGCTTTGTCCTTGAACTATAAGTCTACTCTTGGACTATGAGGCCGTGTCTGTAAGTCAGCCCTGGTTCCTTGGGCCACGTCCATGGGTTGCACCACTTCCCTGGTCCGTGTGTGTTGGCTGTGAGTTGGCTCTGGTTCCCATGGGTCATGTCTTTGTGTTGCCCTCTGTTCCAAAAGCTGTGTCTGTGAGCTGTGAATTGGCCCTGGTTCTGCAGCTTGTATCTGTGAATTAGCCTCAGTTACCAGGGCCATGTCTGTGGGCTGTAAATTGGTCCTGGTTTCACAGGCCGTGTCTGTGTGTCAACCCCGATTCCTTGCGCCATGTCTGTGGGCTGTAAGATGGCCCTGGTTTCCCTGGCTGCGTCTATGATTTGCCTGGTTCCCTGGGTGATGTCTCTGAGGTGTTCCTCTATTACTCTGATAGTTTACAGTGTCTGTCTGGTCAATGTGGACCTGCAGGCCTTTGCCATACTGACTGTCTATGGTGAAATTTAGTAACCCCCGCCTAACCCATGTAGGCCCATGATCCCCCAGTGGGGCCGAAGTAAAGCCTGATGCCATTCCGTGCAGTCTGAGCCCACCCCTGGTGAAAATGCAGTGATGAAGAATCCCTTCAGGCATAAAAGTGCTGTGGTGAAATGAGGCAGAAAGGCAGCATTTAGTGGTTCTGCAAATGGACAGTAAGCCAGTGAAGTACACCACTCCCAGTATGGGGTAATTCTGTGACAAATCATGACTCGTTTGGACCTCATCATCACATTTTAACTTGGCATGCTGATTTGGTCATATGACATTGCATGTATCTTGGAGCATTAAGGGAGATTAAAGAGAAAATTTTGAACATACTGGGAGGGGAGCTATGACTTTGACTGGCTATATCTCCATTAATATAACTTACACAGAAATGATTCTTATGTCATTTTAGAGCTCTTTTCCATCTCAATATTTTGTGCGTTATCTCCAAAATGAAAAATTACCATGTTATGAGTAATTATAATTAGGGATGCACCAACCCCACTTTTTCTATTCCCGTTACCCATACCTGGGTTTTGGGTATTGGCCTATACCGATCTAAGTACCGATCTGATACCAGTGTTTAATTAGTAAGCTGCTGGCTTTTGCCTCACTGTGTGGAAGATACTGTGATTATTCATTTATGTGTAAGGCAACATCAGACTTAACTTAAACCTCAAACAAAGATTTCCTTTGTTCAAAACAAAATGTAACATATGCATATATATATATATATATATGTTATATCCAAAGTCCATTATATCCAGAGTTGCTGTATGCCCAGAATACAAGTACAAGACACCATTTACTCATGCCACACCCCAGCAGACACACTTGTGGTATAGATTATTATATTGTACATGTAGTAATCCAACTTTACCTAACCAGATGCGTGACTATTAATAATCCTGACTACGTATCTGCGCTGGATATCACCAGCACGCCACGTACCTTGTAGGCGGAGCCTGCATGTCCGTTATAGCCAGGCAAAAGTACAGCTAAAAGAGACCCTGGTGACCAAATTGTTTGTCCGTTATAAGTGAAATTTCGTTATATGCGAGTCTGCTATATCCGATGCTTTTTCTGCATGTTCTTAAAGGTGAATGGCCGGGACCAGCAGACCTTGTCCGTTATAGACAATATTCTGTTATATGCCCATTAAAATGGGATTTTACTGTATATCCGAATTCTCAATTCTCAGCTTGAAAGGTCTTTACAGAGACACAGAACCTTAACTGTAAAGCCTGATCTATACTTCTACGTCGAATCGATGCTGTAAGTAAGATGTAGCCATGGGCCCTGATGTGCACCTCCCCAGAAATGTAGCTACATGTCACGGCGACACAGACCGCAAGAACTGTTATTGGTCCGCTTGGTAGCATTTTTTTTTTATAGGAGTGAAGAAAGCGTACACCCAGGTGTACTTATGTTGGTGATTGTACCTGAAGCATTTGTCACATACTAAGCAGTTTCTGTCTCTTGTGCAGCCCTAGCGCAACTCACCTGTTGTGTCTGCCCTGAATCCCTTCTCTGTGTTGAACCCAGTTCCGTGTCTCCGTCTTTGTTGGATTGACCTTCCCGGCCCGCTGATGTTGCCCTTGTTCGCTCCGACCTGAATAATGCTTGGCTGTTTTTGCCCACACCGTCTCCCCAAGCGTTTTCTGGTTTGACACTGGGCATAAATTCTTCAACACACATCCTAGCCACCAGTTATCGCCATATGCAGCCATAACATAATTTTTTATGCTTGCAAAGTCAACTGATTCCCTAAGTGTGTACACCCTTTCAATGCTGTTTTTAGTGTATGCTGAAAAGGGTCTGACATTCACTTTCTCAGTTGACAACAGACGAAACCTATGAAGTTTCTGAGTACCTGGAACCAGTTGCACAAAACACCCTTAAATTTTTCCTCTTATCTTGGTCTTATACTTAAGGAATCCCTTAAAATTACCTTAATGGTTGCACAAAAGACTTTAACAACCAAAGTAAGGAAAAATAACTTAAGATACCTCTGACTGTATGTTAACTACAACATGGCTGAGTTTATCGTGATAAATGAAGAAAATGAACACATCCTGAAGAATGTCCTGCAACTGGGAGGGCCCAATGAATACAATCATCAACTGATTTTACCTAACCTGTTACGCCCAGCTCATCCGATCCTTATGTGTGCCACGCTCACCTCGTTACCTCGTGTTAATTTCCGATTGTCATCACCTGTTTTCTGTTCCTCTTGGCTTGTCCTGTGTATTTAGTCCGCGTCTGAGTTAGTCTTCCCAGATTAGTCATTGTATTGTCATGATGTTCATCGATGTCTGCCCGGATCTCGACAATAAAGTCCGTTCCCTTGAGGAATCTCGCCTTCCTGCGTCGTCCTTTGCCACCCAACGTGACAGAATGACTAATCTCCAGAAGAAGACACCTCAGCTCACAGAAGCTGAAGTCGGCGATCTCGTCAGCGAGGCAGTTTACTGGCTACAACAGCCAGAAATACAGGAAGATTCCGCAGCTCGCACCTTGGCGATCCGTACGAGGGATATCTTGCGGGGGATTTCCCCGACGGAGGACGCCTTCCTAACCTAGGAAGTTCGGCTGAACTTACAGCAGGTCCGGGAAATGGCGGCTGAGGCCAATTGGATCTGCCATCGGAGCCACCCGCGGTGCCACGGATTACCATAAGAAGGAAGAAAAAGAAGAAAGGAAAAAAGCAAGTAGGTACTGGCATTCTTCTTAGGGGCTGTTTCCCTCTCCGCTTCTTTCCCCGTCGGATGTCAGGAGGAGCGCCTCCCTATCCTGGACCCGGCGGTGTTTTACCCGGCCGCAAATGCTCCTCCACCGGCCGAAGCTCCGGCTCCATCCCTTAAAGGACCGGTTCCGTCCCTGGACGGACAATACTTTGCCCTCCAAGGACTGTACTGGAGGGTGATGGAAGATCCGGCAGTGCAGGACTTTCGAGAAGCTGCCCAGCTCTCCATACAGCTTCAAAGACAGTTTGCCGCCTTTACCCCAGCTTCTCCGCAGGGCGATTTGGAGAAGTTGGCACACAATTTGAGGAGACTCTTTCAGTTGCGAGCGGAACAGACTCCCTCAAAAGCACCGGCGCCTGTCCAACCTGTCCTGCCTGACTCGCCGGTGCCATCTGTCCTGCCCGTCCTGCTGGCCCCGCGGATATGTTGCCCCCTGCTGGCCACGAATTGGCGGTGCCTGCAGAGGTGCCCCCTGCTGGCTACAAGTTGGCAGTGCCTGCGGAGGCGCCCCCTGGTGGCCAAACGCCTGAGGTTCCTGCTGAGTCGCCCGAGGTTCTGCGAGATGCTGCCGCTCTGCCCGCGGCCTTGCTTGACCCGCCTGTGTTGGCGGCGCCCCCTGCTGGCCATGAGTCGGCGGTGCCTGCAACTCCGCCTGAGGTCTCTGCACCACCTCCGCCTGCAGCTCCGCCTGAGGTCTCGACGCCACCTCCGCCTGCAGCTGCTATGCCAGAGGTCCCGCCTGAGGCCTCGCCCGTCTTGTCTGCCTTGCCCGTCCTGCCCGCGGCACTGCCTGCCGCTGCGCCTGAGGTCCTGGCGCTGCCTACAGCCCCTCCTCTGCCTGCAGCTATGCCTGGGGATCCTGCACCGGCCCCACTTCAGGCTGCACCCGAGGCTCTTGCTGTGGCTTCCCCTGCTGGCCATGAGTTGGTGGTGCGTGCTATGGCGCCCCCAGCTGGCCATGAATCGGCGGCGCCTGCTGCTGCGCCCTCACCAGCCGCTGCTTTGCCCGCAGCGCCCTCACCAGCCGCTGCTTTGCCCGCAGCGCCCTCGCCTGCCACTGCTGCAGCGCCCGCTGTCCAGCCCGGCTTGCCTGTCCAGCCTGTCTTTCCAGCCCTGGTCCCAGTCCCCGAGGAGGTCCAAGACAGTCCGACCACCACTCCTTCCTCCTTGGAGGAGGAGAAGCTTGAGTGGGACCCCTCGGGGACCTCCCTTATGACTCCTTTGCCCTTACCCCAGTGAGGCCGACACCCACCGAGACCCCGCCTTTCTGTGTCCCGATAGGGGAGGGGACACAAGCGCAGGGCCGGGGCCCCGCCCCCTGGCTCACCCTCGCTTGCCTTGGCTGGGGCTCGGGGTGCGCCTACGGGTCCTGCGTCTCCGGGCCGGCGGTCGCTTGCGGGTCCCCCTCCGACGCCTTGTCGCCTAGCCTCGGTCCCGCCTCCGACTCCTCGTCGGTCGCCTGTGGGTCCCCCTGCTACGGTGCGTCGGCAGACGGCGCCTTTGCCGGCTGTGGCTGCGCTGTCGCCTGCTGCGGCTTCCCCCTCCTCCTTACCCTTGCTGGTGCCCCCTCCGACTCCCTCCTTGTCTCCTCCGTCTGTCCCTCGTCCTATCTCCTTGTTCCCGTCGTGGTCCCCTCCTGTTCCC